AAAGGGCCGACTCCTGTGAAACTTCAATCTGTTTAGGGGCATCTTGAGGGAAAAGGGCCTCGCCCCCTTTCAGGTGATCTTCAATAAAAAATAGGGAGGTGAACTAAGAGAGATGCAGGCAGGGAAGGCGCCCCCCCTCCCATGGTTCAACGGTTCAACGAAAGTGCCATCACATAGTCATGATTTGAAGGTATATAATGCAGCGGTGTTCTGGCAGGGGGACATAGGCTAGCAGTGTTTGGCATCATCATCGTCTGCGGCAGTTTGCATGGGAAACGCGACTTGCATTGCGAAGCCATTTGCCTACCCGAGCCGTCGTGAAAGGGACCACCTACAACATTAACATCCTGGAATCACGTCAGGGCATATGAAACCAGAAATGTCCAAGTCATACTGTGTGACTATGACCATATCGAAATTCAACGTATGAAAAGGATAAAACAGTGCCATTCACAATACCTAGTTATGACTGTTCCCGAATATGATGCTGCAGATAGCCACCGAAGGCTAACACATAGTACTTAGCTATGACTGTTCCGGAATCTCAGGATACAAGGAACCAGATGGGACCAAGTCGTAATGTTTTGCTATGAGTATTCCCAAAATTTAAGGTTATGCACGGCAAGGGATGAGGAGAGGCCAACTGATACGAAACTCCCAACTTTCAGGGTACCAATACCAAAAAAATAATACTTAGCTATGACTATTCCCGAAGTTCACGGTGCAAGGAACCAGAGAAGGCCAAATCATAATACTTACCTATATTTATTCCCAAATTTCAGGGAAAGGGCCAAATGATAAGACTTGGCTATGATTATTCCGACAAAGAACCAGCAAAGACCCGGTCAGAGTAATCAGCTAGGACGATTTGCCCGCTATAAGAATCACAAGACGCCAAATCATTATACTTAGCTATGACCCCTGCGTAATTTCAAAGTATAAGGCACGGGAAAGGACTCGGACATTTCATTGTGGGCAAGGAAAAACAGGGCTCCTATGGTACTTTGACGCGCGTATGGTTTTGGCTTTAGGGTACCGGTTAGAACTTATGGCTGAATTATATGCGTGTGACCGGGAGCTTTCCAAGAGCACCCCTCCAAGAGCGCATTCCCAGAGTCCTCCAACACCATTCCAAGAGCACTCCAAGAGCCGTCCAACGCCACCATTTATACGCCACCCATTCAACATGTCCAGTGCTCTCCAGCACCACTGCAAAGCGCTCCAGGAACAGAGCCCGCCCTCGAATACATTGAAATGGCCTGGGTTGTCACGAACATTTCCTGCATGCTTAGTGTTTCATTTTTCGGCTTGAGCCTAGTCGCGCAAGACCCCGGCTCGCAGACAACTGCCTGAGCATGCATTTAGAATTGCATGCAGATGCCGTGGTCTTGCTAGGTGCGAGCTTTCGTTCAGCCCCGTCAAGTCATGTTTATCAGAAGCAGCACAATTTGCCAGAAATTCTGGACAATAAAATTGCTGCAGGCAACAAGGCAACATCACGCCCAAATCATCACCAACACAGGGTGGTGGGGCGGTGGGGCAGCCACCTGGCAAAAGGCTTCATGTACACGGAACGAGCAACCCGAAATCTTGCACACAATCTTGGTTTTTCGATCCAAGTCGTACAACCTCAACCTTCATGCCTCGAGGATTGGGCTTGCTGTTGGAGTCCTCTTTGGGCCCTTGTCGGCAGGGCTCGGCGCGGCGATCGGTGCGGCCCTGGGCTCTCTTTCGGGTGCACTTCTTGGGGGCACCTTCAAGCCGCTTGTATGGCCAGAGGGTCGTTCGAGAGTGATGTTCATTCTCGTGATTCAGTGATTCTCCATGCTGTGCCATCCCTGGTTGTGGTCTGCAAGGTCGTGGATCTTTGATTATTTCCAACTCCCGGAAGACAAGAAGCTGCAGTATGCCTATGCATTCCTTGAGATTTCGCCTGATGCTTCAGACCAAGAGGTCGCCAGAGCGTACCGTGAGAAAGCACGCCAGGTCCACCCGGACAAAGGTGGTTCTGACGAAGAGTTCAAAATTCTCGCAGTACATGTTGAGGTAATCAAGGCACACCGTGCCCGCACAGCGAGTGCTGATAGCCCAAAGTCGGCTGAAGCGCAAGGGTGCAGTGCTCCTGCCCTGTCGCTTGCTCAGGTCTTTCTGTGAACTTTATCGCAGTAGGCAAGCCTGCAGTAATGAAGCGTCCTGGCAGGGTTTTCCTACCCGGTTTTGTCGCGCAGCTCGAAGTCCGAAGCTCAATGCCAGAAAAGGATTGCTCTTTACCGGCGTGCATGCCCAGGTCCTGCTCCGACCCGAGCTTTTCACGACAGCCCTACAGCCCCAAGAGGATTCCCGACTAAGAGATGGTTTCAACATGGAACTCATCTAGCAGAACTTATGATGAATACTAGATCGGGAGATAAATTTGCCCTCTCCACAAAGGCAAAACGCGCCTCTAGGGGCAAGAATCACGCAATATCATATAAGTATATCATGTAATTATACTAATGGGTTCTTGTTTCATTTGTTTCACGATCAGCAACGAAGATCAAGAAGACCAATTGCATTCGGTTCTTTCTATCCCGTAGCATGATAAGCCCAAAGTGTTCCGTCTGTCCTAGAGATTACAGGTACGGCTGGTGTTCTTGCAAAATTGTGTGGGGTTGAGTTGGCGTCAACATCAGATACTGAAGAGGCGAGTCGAAGTTTCGCTGTCTCACCCTCCTCACCTGGAAAGATTGTTAGTCTCCGTAATGCTGAGTTTGAGCTTCTTGTTGTGCAAAATGACTGAAACTTCCGTTGTGCATTCGACACTCTTTCACTGCTTGAGGGTTGAAGGTCTTGGGCATTATTGTTGGGATCTGGCAAAACTAAGATATTTTGTTGAAAAACTGAAAAGTGACATCTAAGCCCCAAAAAAGGTTACATCTAAGCGTTCTACCAGCCTCCAAGCCGAAAATCAACTTTATAGGTACACCCTGCCTCCGGACAATAAGCTGAGTTCCTTTGTGCTGGCCGAAAGAGCAAGTCAACGAAGTGAGACGTCTGCACCCTAAACCCTAAACCCTAAAGACCCTGTCGATGCTTTACTGGTTCATGCTGCAGCTTCGGGCTCTCCAGGCTGCCCCCACAACCTCGGAAGTTCTCAAGCCGGCTTCCAGAGCTTTGCACGCAGTGCCTGCTTGCGGCCTTGCAGGCTGGAGCGGCGGCGGTAGCAGCTCCGGTGTGTAGCGTTTCATCCTTAGGACTTGCGAGTTTCACAGGAAAAAGGGGTAGATTCTACTGAAGCAAGCCATTAAGCCACCTAAACCTGTCGTGTGTCGAGAGGTTTTCGTCACTAATCGACCCTGCGTTCCCAACCCACCTAGAGACCGCACGTCGCGACAACGAAGACGACGACGCGGACAGCGTGGAATCAGATGACTATCGCCAGCTCAGTGTGCGACTCTTTGGCATGCTGGTGAGCGAATGCAGACCTGAAAATAGTGCGCGGGATTCGCCGCCAGGATGGGTTCCTCCTGTGGAGTGTGGAACCAAAGCCCACATTGGAACATCAATAGCATGTTGATCATCAGAAGAGTGTTCCTAACCCGCAAGCCGTGCTCTTGACCACATGTTGACGGCAAGAGCAGGCATTTAGATTCAGTCACGTTTGTCGGAATGAAGAACGTCATAGCACGTCATAGCAAAGGATTCCGATTGTCGGTGCTAGGCAGACTCCCGTTGCTCCTAGGCTCCGGGTGCAATGTTGTAGGTCATCAACTCCCGAAGCAGTCCTCCCACGTTTGCCAAGCGGGTCCAACAGTAGAAAGCTGAAGCCACAAGACTGGAGTTCTTCATCGTCGTTGCCATAAGTTGAAAAAAGGTGCAGATGCACGCGCAGGTGAGCAGCCGTGTCCGCAAGGGTTTGCGTGTTAGTCTTGTTCGTTGTGCCGCAAAGGCATTGAAGCGGTCTATTGGACACTGATGTTGACAGGATAATCCGGACGATGTCCGTCCATGGATGTGCGCTGGCTCACTACAGCATTTGCAAAGATTCCCGGGCCGCCTTGAAATTTAGAACTGTTCACCAGGAGCACCAAGCTTAACTATGCACCTTGCAATAGCCACTGTCTTTCATCAGATTCTCTATCGTTCGAACTGCTCCAGCAGCCTTCAACGTCCAAGATCAGGTATCATTGATGACTTGCGACATAGTCGACGATTAGAATCGAGACCACTTGTCACATTGCCATTGTGCCGACCAGCGCAGCAGCAGAATCTGCTGCTTGACCTAGCTTGCAGGCAGGTCGGAATCAACTGGGCGATATCATTTTCGCATGCGAAAAACCAACCCTTAATTCGCAAGCCGACACAGCATTTACGCTGCCGTAGGACTCGCGAGCTATTTGTCTCCTGACGTCGTCGTTCTTACCAGGACTAACAAGTCGTTTGTTTTTCCCAGCAATTAGATACCTGCATTTCATCACCTTTGCAGGAGTGTTCATCGCAAGAGGGTCCCTAATGTACTGCTGCATGTAGATGCAATGGCATCACGACTGCTCCAGTTGCACTCCCGAAGCAATCCAACCGTTCTCAAGCCAAGATAAAGCCTCTTGGAGTACAGGCGACCTCCACAATGGCGAGGACTCTGAGATGCCTGCTTACCTTTGAAGTTAGATCTAAAGATCTTTGAGCCAGCGTTGCATAGCTGTCCAAGCTTCACTTTTTCTGGCTTCCGTTTTGCTGACCAAATCTACAGTCCAAGAAGCCCTTCTCACTGTCACCTGGGAGCCTGCTGGGACTACCAGCTAAACCCTAAACCCTAAGGCCTTTCACTTGTCGAAGCCTCCTTGAACGTTGCAGGAGCTCTTCGTCGTCGCTTCTCTTTCCGGTTGCCACTTGCGCACGATTTGCACTGCTTGAGGTGTTGGATTCTTCAACTGCGTAGCTAGTGAGGCCTTACATGAGGGACTATCCACAAGACTAATTTATAAAGCCTTCTCTCCCTTTTCTCTCGGCTCGTTCGCCAGGTTCTGCTCGCCAGCTTCCTCTACGCCCTCTGCCCACCAAAGGCCAGGGCTATGAGGGCTCCTTAAAGGGTTCTACAAGGGCTACTGTAAGGGTTTAGGGGGCTATGAGGGCTCCTTAAGGGTACCAACTTGGTTTAGGGTTGAGGGTTAAAGTTCCCAGAGACTCCAATATCCCTTAATTAAGGAATATACCTTAAATCATATGAAGGATCCTACTATAATTTAAGGAATATTCCTTAATCAAGGGATATTCGAGTCTCTGGGTTCTTTAGGGGTTCTAGAAAGGTTCTAGAAAGGCTCTTGAAGGGCTCTTCAAGGGTTCGAATAAAGCTTCTGCAAGCGTTCCGAAAAAGATGGGGGGGTTTTAGAAGGGGCTTCTCAGGGTTCTATAAGAGTTCTATCAGGGTTCTAGAAAGGTTCCAGAAGGGTTTGAACAACGTTGTATAAGGGCTGTACAAAGGCTGTATAAAGGGTTCTATGAAAGGGTGTCTAGGCGTAGGGGGAGGATGGGATTGTATCCTCTGGCTCCGTCGAAACCCGATGTGTTGGTCCTGAATTCAAATTTTCAAACCCAGCAAGAGAGAAACCGTCCCAGCCGACACCCCATCTGCAACAAAACGTTTTGCAATTAAAGAAGGCAGCGCGACAAGACATTTTGGCTATTGCGCCCTGAACTCGGAATCCGCCAACCCCAGAATCCCAAACGCCCAAGCCCAACAAGTCCTGAAACCCGAGGCCGCTGAAGCAAAAAAAAGCCTTAAACGGAGAAGCCTTACTCGTCCGAGGCGTTCCTCCTCCCCAGCTCCCGGCGTGGTGGGCTTAGTTTTTGTGGCATCGGTCAGGGTTTAGGGTCTTCAGGGTTTCGGGTTTAGGGTTTAGGGTTTAGGGTTTAGGGTTTAGGGTTTAGGGTCTTCAGGGTTTCGGGTTTAGGGTTCAGTGTGTTGCGTCACGTAGGCGAGTGCCAGCCCGGAAGATCACCCTGGCAGGGCCTATAGGGTTTAGGGTTTAGGGTTTAGGGTTCAGGGTTTAGGGGTATCATTCCTCTGTCAATGTGTCTGTGCTGTTATTGCAGTGTTAGTTTTTTCGTGGCTGGTTCTGTTTCAAGGCCCTAAACACCAGACCCTGAACCCTAAACCCTAAACCCTAAACCCTAAACCCTAAACCCTAAACCCTAAACCCCAAACCCTAAGCCCTAAACACCAGACCCTGAAGTCCTAGACCCTATCTCCGTGGCTTTCGCTTCAGGGATCCTTTCGAAAGGGTTCGTCACCTCCAAGCTTACCGTAATCTTTACGCCCTGAAGAACCTACAGTAAACCCCAAAAAGTTGGAAACCTGATTAAGGCCAAATAGCGCTGGGATTCCCTATATAGTAATCACTAGTAATCTTAAGGATTGAGGCTATTGCGTTTCCAACTTTTGGGCTTCTACTGTAAATCGTCTCAACCCTGAACAACCCCCTAAACCCTAAACCCTAAACCCTAACCTTAAGCCCTAGATAGAGCCCTTTTGCCGAAACCTTATCGAACCCAGATTGAACCATACAGAGAACAAATCTAGAGCCTGTCTAGAATCCCGCTTTAACCCTCCGAGCCTGTGCAACCCATTTTCTGTGTTCCGAAAAAAGGGGCCTGAATAATTACCTATACTATTTCGGGGGTTCCTGATGCTATGTATAGTATAAAAAAGCCACCCAACAACCTATTCTAATTATTCAGGCCCCTAAACGCTAAACCCAAATCCCTAAACACCGCCGAACCTCGAAACCCTAAACCCTAAACCCTTTTCTGTTTATTATGGCCCCAAATCCTTGGCAGGATCTGAGCCAGAAGCCCAGGAAGCGGCGCAGCCCTCAGAAGAAGCTCTTGTGCGCTTTCGAGGTTCGCAGAGGTTAGGATTCAGGGTTCAGGGTCTCGGTTTAGGGTTGAAGACATGGCAGTAAAGCCACATTCATGTTCGCAGGTAGCGTTACTAGTAGTAGTTGCAGTACCTATAGTCTCCATTGTAGTTCCTTTTTGGGGATACCTTATAAAATCCTTAATATATAATTGGTTAAACAAAAAAAGGAACTACAATGGAGACTATAGGTGGTCACATTCATTGCAGCAGCAGTCATAGGATTGGTATTCACAACGCTACTAGTAGTAATGACAGTAGCAAATGTCATTCAGACATAGCAGCACTAATCGTATTTTGGAAATCATCGTTGCATCCCGAAACCACACGAAGTCTTGGACAGAAAAGACAACTAGAACTACCTGGCAAAGCCCAACTGACAAGAACAGGAACTGTTTATTCACTATCGCCAGGCTACAACCTAATGGAAGAAATACTACGTATGCGGGTGCCTGTGCAAGAGCTTTTCTTGGCTTGATCCGGAACTTAATGTGGCTCCTCAGTGAGGACAACACGCTAAATTTTCTGCAAATGTTGATTATGGTAACTTAGCTGAATGTCCTGAAGCAGCATCAACCCTTGCAACAGCCCTAGAAAGCCCTTCTTATAACAGCCTAATGAAATCCCATGCGCATCCTACGAAGTTTGGTAACAAAGCCTCGTAAAGCCTTCAAACCCCATAAAGCGAACCCTCGTAAAGCTCTTAAGAACCCAATATAAAGCCCTTTGCGAGCTCGGTTTCTGCAGCTCTTTCGTGCCTTTCGTGCCTGCGGCGAGGCCGGTCCCAGCTCGTCCCGCCGGTCGCTGCTCGCAGGGGCTTTGGCAGTCGGGCCCGTAGCCAATGAATACAAAGATGGGTTTACGATAACATATACATACGCTACATACATACATACATACATACATACATACATACATACATACATACATACATACATAGATACATACACACATGCATATAAGAGACATGATGTCCATATACGTGACTGAAGAGAAAAATAGATTAAGAGCTTTACGTATAGACGAAAAATTGAATCGGAGAACAGGACCAGCTACATGCCCATGTTCACAGGTACTTACGGCAAGAACTGAATGAACCAATATGAGCATAAGTGTATATGTGTACAACTATGTACATGCATATATATATATATATCTCTCTCTTTATAGATACACACCTAGAGACACGGTATGTAGAGACACACTTGTACACATAGATACACACTTATACATCCAGGTTATATTATGCTATGCTATGCTTTATTATGCTACGTTATATATGTTATGTTAGAATATGTTCTGCGGCATTTATGTTATTTTGCACTTTGTTATGTAATCCTATGCTTTGCCATGCCATGCTATGCTCTGCTGTGTTATGTTACCTGCGATGCTGAGTTATGTTATGTCATGATGTGTTATGTTATGCTATGGTATGTTATGTCATGGTATGTTCTGTTCTGTTATGTTTGTTATGCTATGTTATGTGTCATGTTATGCTATGTTATGTTGCGCATGCAGGTACGTATGTGCTGTGCATGTATGTGTGCGTGTGAGTATGCACGTAGCACGTATGCATGCATTTGAGACACACACACACATACACCCGTATGTTGTTATGTATATATGTACGTACGCATGTATGCATGTATGCATGTATGCACGTTTTCTTGTTTGTTTGTTTTTTGTTTCCGTTTGTAGATATGCAAATACACATGTTGAAATGCACGTTTGTGTGTGTGTGTGTATATAAAAACACACATATGCTAGCCCCTCCGAAGGACACAGCTTTCACATGAAATCTCGACGGTTCCACAATGCTCAAATTCCAAAAGCAACAGAAATCCAACCATTCCAAAATTTCCCAAAATCCAATGCTTCCAACAAATCAACGAGTTCTGAAACAGTACAAAAACGTTCTAAAACTGCCAGAAAGTCTGAGGAGAGTTTTAAGAATTTCGGCAATTCCTTCCGAAATTCGAAAACTTCGTTCCGTCGGTTTTTAGTCTTTTGGAACTATTGGGTGATTACAATTATTGAAATTTCTTATTTCTCTGATTTTTTTGGATCTTTAGGATTTTTCGGAATGTCAAGAAAGGTTATGGAATTTTTGGATGTCTTTGCATTCCCAAAATATGTACCCAAACTGTCTTCTCTCGCACACGTACCCAGGCATCCCTCTGAGACGCCTGTAAGGGTTTAGGGTTTTGGGGTTTAGGGTTTAGGGTTAAGGGTTTAGGGTTTAGGGTTTAGGGTTTCCTGTGTTGGGACTTTTGCCACCCAAGCCACCCCAAACCCAAACCCATCCCCCCAGCCCAAACCCACTAAAAAAAAACCCCTTCTACAAATGCACAAACCCACCAAACCCACCCAAACCCACCCCAAACCTGAAATAAACTGGACTTTGTTGGAATTTCGTGTTGTCTGAATGCTCGTAAGCTGCTTAAGTCGTGTTCGAGCTGCTCCAACCAGGATAGCTGTTGACATCCATAAAACCATGTAGCAGGTCTTTCAACATCAGGGTTCAGTAACTTGATAAGTAGCTGATACACTAATACATGCAAAAATACGGTCGATACCTTGCTAGAAATACGCACAATATGTCAAGATACTATTTTGACAACAAGGAGAAGTAGTTCAGTATTCCCCGAATCAAGAAGGGCTTGGCACTGGATGTGCAAAAACGAAATTTCGACATCTCATGTTTTCTTATCTAAAATCTCGTTGGTGTGAGCATGTTGTTCAAACAAAGCCATTTGCACACAAGTAAGTGCTAACGTAACTAATTTGTAATGGGTGTTAAATTAATACACAGTCACATATATTGGATGTTTAGCCGGATTTGCCGAATCTTAGTCCAGTCAGAGCCGAGTAGACTCTCAATATCTCTGAATAACACTTGTCAGTGATGTGTGTTTGACATCTAACCCATACTTGGTCGATTGCTCCTTTGGTGTTTGACCATTGCGCGCTTCTTTTTGCAAAGGTTTGTTGTTGACTGGCAATCGATATACTTTGCGCATTTTGATGTGTTTCACGCCTACGTACAGATTACTGCATAGCTAAGCCTTATGTACACGTTTATTCAGTATTTGATGTCCAGTGTTGACATAAACCTATGTGTATTTCACATTCTAACAGACAAGAGAAGCTCTGCAAAATAAGGCTCATCTAGCATGTGATGTTAACACAACACTTAATCAACCATTCATTACTGTAAACTTCAGATCTACCTGACAATAAACAATTGTTCCTTCATGTTCGATCACAAGAAAATGCCGACATGTTCAAGAAATACAGCTGGTGGTTAAACGAGGTCATCAGCACATTACTATCATTGAACCGGCTTTTTTTGTGATGTTTTGCAAAATGTTTAGTTCATCTGTTACGATTGTCTCACTGGTATGTAAACCATATTCGGACGAGCATTAGTATTGTCTTAATTTCAACCAGTATTATCATTATAATGACGATTGTCATTGATGAAGCGGTTTATTGACATAGCAGTTTCTTATGAGTTAGTTAGTCACTAACGAACCGTCGGTTGTCTCGTTATGAATGCAATAAAGGGTAGCTCCTATCTAAGAGGAAGTAGGACTTAGCTTCTGTATGGCGTTTAATCTCGCATTGCTGCAACGACCAGCTATTCCGATACAAAGTTAGTATTAGATGCTTGTGAATGTGTTCTCGTTTGTTAAGTCAGCAGACTTAGACACGAGGCGAAACGGTACGAACAAATCAACACATACTGACCCGATGTGAAATGCAGTTTGGACGCTATTAGAAGGAATGACACGGATCCTAACTACTCTTCGAACTTCAGATAGCAGGTACTTGTAACTCATGCATACATGCATGATATAAGTGCCCGATGAGCAATATTCTCAACGAATGCTAATCCAACAGTAATTGGGCATTAACTTTTTAGCGGAAGCAATAACACGTGCATCGTAATTGCTACTCGAATATTAGATACCAAGAAAAACATAATGGTAAGTCCTGCATACGTGCGTCACATGACCTCAGAGTAGACAAAACGGCAAGACATGTAGCTACCAAGCTGGCACCTGTTTTTGTATTGCAGTATGACGCGAACACATTGTAGACAACAATAACAGAGCAATTGCATGGCCGACGTTGGTCCTAGGAGGGTGGTGACTGTATATACATATATATAAGTATGTATACATTTTTGCATATATCTACATGGTGTGTATATGGCTATAGCCTCAGTGCTGTCTTCGTGCCCAAACCTCGGCCACAGAAAGGAGGCACGGCAACCTAACATGTTGCTTGTGTTGAACGGCATCCGCTTCAGCGAAGCTCTGCTGCAAATTGAGGTACGAAAGATGTTTGGGGTTCAAAGTTCCGGGTTTAGGGTTTAGATTGAGGATCCGAGCCCCGAACTCGAAGCGCTAAACTTTGAACCCTCTACAGTAAACTGAAGAGTTAGTTTCTGCGGAGCTTCTTAGCCATGGTCCTTTCCAGAGCCTGAAAGCAAACCTCAACGCTTAGCCCTAAACCTTGAGCCCTCATCCCTAAGCCCCAAACGGCCCTAAGATTTGTGTATTGGAGCTAGTGGGGGAGTTTGTTTGCTGCCGGTGCTGGGAACGGACTTTCTTGTAGGACTTCACCGGGTGCGTTCCGGGCAGAGGGATCGGTACTTTGGTAGTGTTTTTTTTGAATGGTTTAGGTGGTTGGGGTGGATGAGCCTGGAGGTGCCGCGTTTGAAAAGTTGCTACAGAAGAGACTGACTGACTAGTTCTGGGTGGGTAGTGGGTGTAAGTTATCGTGATGGTGGTGGCTGGGCTCTTGGTCTCAGGTTTACTACCTCAGCCTATCAGGCGTTCTAGCTGGATGGGCAGGCAGAAAAGAGGTCTCAAGAACAAGAACCGGCCCCAAACCCTAAGCCCTAAACCCTAAATCCCCTAAATCCCCTAAATCCCTTAAACCCGAAACCCTAAACCCTAGATCCCCTAAATCCCCTAAAATCCTCTAAATCCCAAAGTCCCCTAAACCCCCAAAATCCCCTAAAATCCCCTAAACCCCCAAACTCCCCCAAAATCCCCTGAACCCTAAACCCTAAAA